TAAGCCACGCGGGAGTGTTTCGTGTTGACAAGCACATGAGGCGTGGTCACCACCAGATCCAGGCCCCGGGCCCCGTCAGGGTGTCTGCAGCCAACAAGATCTCTGGACAAACTGACAACTCTCCCATCTGCTCGCCTCCTGCCTGTGTCTTGGGTCTGACTCCGCAGCAGGACCCGACCAAAGGGCCGGCTGGCCTCTGGGAGCCTCTGGAATGTGCTGGCACCCCTCACCCGGAACTGCCCATGCTGCCTGCAGCCAGGCTCCCGCCCCCCCACTGCAGAGGACACGCCGCAGAGCGGCCCCCACGTGCCCCCATTTCCATGGGACGAAGGGACCCAGCCTCCCTGTCTGCTTCTCCCCAGACTGGCGCCTTGGACGTGGAGAGAAGGGAGGTGCCAGCTCATACCCGTGTCTCTCAAAACGTTAATACTGACGAAAGCAAACACTTAAAAACACCACAGAGCTCCCGAAGCTGACATCCTGGGGGGAGGGGGTGGGGAGAGCGGTGGCCCCAGAGCAGCCCACATGACGGGCACTGCACAGCAGGGCCCTGTGATGGGGTCCCAGGGGCACACGGCATCGCAGAGGCCCCAGCACCACCATCTCTGGGGTGCCCTTTTCCTGCTCTGGGTTTGTCCTGCGTGGAGCCCCCAGGCCGGCTCCCCCTCCCAGGAAGACCCGTGCTCATGGCCCTTTCCTGCTCCTCCCAGGGCTCAGCAGAGCTGCACACGCAGCCTGACTCACGACAGGGTCCCCTGTGCACCAGGCAGGGCCAGAGGCAGAGGGCACCACGCCCAAGGCAGAGAGGAGCCAAGAGAAGGGGTGGCCGTCCTCAGGCTGAGCTCAAGTGGGAAGACGCCTGGCTTTTCGCAGGACAAGGGCTCGGAGAGTCCAGGCCCCAGCACGGAAGGCAGAGTGACCGACCCACTGCCACAGACCCACCACCCTCCCCACCCTCTCCTGGGGGCTCCGTGGGGAGGGTGGTGGGGACCCTAACCCTGCCCACACCTCCTCTTGGCATTCCAGCTCGTGGCCCCACTGGCCAGGCGGCCCCCACCCCTCCAGTCTCCTGACCACCTCAGGAATGACCACCGCTCTGTCCTGCAGGCAAACAAACCACAGGTGCCTCTGTCACACGCGGCAGGACACGAAGCAACCCACCCTCCAGCAGGGACCCTGCCACCAGGCGCTCGGGCGCCCCGCACAGAGCTGCCGTGCTCACCACCCAGTCCCAGGGGTCAGCGAGGTGACAAGGGATCTGGGTCTTGCTCCTAACACTCAGGCACTCCTTTCACATAAAAGTAAGGATCACGTTTCAGGGACNCTGTCAAAGCCCAACCCCAATTCCCAAGCCCGGTCTCCTGAGCACCCCCAAACCCACAGGGCTGGGTGCCGCACCTCCAAAGAGACAGCGGGATTTGCAGCCTCCCAACAGACTGCAGGGACGTTTCCGACCTAACCGTGGAACTGACAGGACAACCAGACGTACCTTCGCCATCTGCACCGAGGTTCTCGTAGGAGTCCCAGCGGATCAGCGGGTCTGCGGTGTTGAAGTCCACACTCACCCCGGGGTCGTTGCACAAGTGTTCACACCCTGCAGGGGGGTGAGGGGAGGACACAGGCGTCAGTGCAGCCAAGCCAGAGCCTCAGGCACGTGCCCGGAGGTGAGGCCGGTGGAGTTGGGGCCTGGTGCCTGCTGCAGCCCTGCACCCCAGGCCTGGCGTTAATGAAGCCGACTCGCACTGCCTCAGGCAAAGAGCAGCAGTTAAAACCGCACGGAGAAGGAAAGGCGAGCCCGGGCCCTCCGTCCGCGGGTGCAGCTCGGGGTGCCACTCCTGCACCACAGGGTCACCCACGTCCTTCCCGAGTCAGGGCCGGCTCAGGGCGGATGTGTGGAGAGGCAGGTGGGGCCTGGCCCAGCTCAGTCCCACAGCACCCAGGGGACTGGCACCGAACGCCATGCCTGTGACACGGGGCGTGGACGCAGGGCGGTCATTTTCCACGGTGAGTGAGAACTGAACTCCAGTGTTCACACATGGGGCTCTCGGGGATGGAAGTGAGCCGCCAGCCTGATGCTAAAAAACCCTGATGCCCCTTTCAATGTGTTTCCAGAAGAAAGGAGAGTTCATTTTGCACATAAATATTTGCAGACCACAGAACTTGTAATCTTCTTTAAAAACATCTGATTGTTTGTTGAGGAGAAGAGTAAACATTTAGTACAATCTCCCTGATAAGGAGGGACCAAGGCTCGGCCAGCCCTCCCTGCTGCCTAACAGACTATTATTAAAACAT